AAGATTGGCCGAACATTAATAACTGTTGAAGCTGGTCAACAGATAAATGGGTTCACTATATTATTCTACTTTTTTTCATGCTTGAAATTCTTTATAATAAAATTCTACCCCCCCCCCAACACAAACCGGTTTACAAGTTCAATTAAGCTTGAGCAATTGTTATGGGCCAAGTTCTGTACTAAATCTTAACAGAAATAATTGTAAAGCAGCACTGAGTGGTGTTAAAATGAGAATGTTGCCATAAAATAAGGAAACATGAAACACGGTAAAGATACAGTTTTCTTTAAGTTACTAATCTTATTTGGCAGAAAGAATAATGCAGTAGGTGTTCACAGGTACACACATGCACGCACCCACATATACCCCATACATAAGAACTCCTCACGTTTTTTATTTTTATATTTTATTTATTTATTTTTTTTCCCTTTTTGTCTTTTTTTCGTGTCTGGCAACGGATCGCAACCCTCAGTGTCGCGCCCATACCGGACCGGGACCGGCAATGGGATCGCAACCCTCATTGTCGCACCCGCACCTCGCTCAGCCAGTGAGCGGGAACCAGTCTGTATGTGGGATCCGAACCCTCAGCGGGAGCGCCACCGCGCTCCCAAGTGGCGCAATGTAGCAGTACGCCACCGGGCCGGCCCGAACTCCTCATGTTTAACTCAAGAAACAGTGAGCATCTATGAGCTACCTGTAGACACTGTGCTAGGCATTAAGTGGGGATACAAAGGTTATGTTATTTTTCTGCTGAAGAGGTTTATAAACCAACTGTAGGGGAAGGACCTGAATACATGAGACACTTAAATAATAACAACAGAAGTATATGTGAGTCTTCCACTGTTGTAGGCACCTTCCAAGATGGTTCCCAGTGATTCTGCCTCCTGCTATTCACGCCCTTGTGCAATCTCCTCCCTTGAGTATGAGGTGGATCTAATGACTTGCTGCTACTAAAGCGATGGGATATCACTTCCGAGATTAGGTTACAAAAAAACTCTTCCCTCTTGCTCGCCCCTCCTGATCAACCTGATGGAAGCCAGATGTGGTGAACTGCCCTTTAGAGGCCCAAGGTGGCAAGAGCTCAGGAAGGACTCCAGCCAACAGCAAGCAAAGAACTGAGGCCTTCAGCCCAACATCCTGCAAGGATATAAATGCTGCTAACAACCACTCTGAGTGAGCTTTTAAGTGACTTCTCCCCAAGTCGAGCCTTGGGATGACTGCAGCCTGGACAACACCTGGACTGCTGCCTTGTGGGAGGCCTTGAGCAAGAGTAACCACAAGGTGTGCTAGGAACCCTGACCACAGAAACCACGAGATAAGCTGCTTATCTTAAGCTGCTAAATTTGGGGATAATTTGTTACGCAGTAATAAATAACTAATACATTTATCATCGTAATTACAACAATGAAGCACAGTACAAGAAAGTTTACTTATCTTGTTTAACAATGAAAAGAGGGGTGCGACTGATGGTAGCATCTATTATCAAGGTCTCTTTAAAGAAGAAATTTATAAATTGCTACATAAGGAAATCACAAATTTTAATGTAGAGGTATTTTCCATAATTAAAGCAATGAGGAACACACTAAATCTATCCTTACAAGGACAAAGAGAGCAACTTATCCTACCAAAGGGGTTTTCTTTTCCATTGCTAATAAACTGGGATTAAAAAAATATACATATATTTAAAAATTATCGGGGAGGGAAACATAATTAATTACAGAGCTCCATGTAAAGCATCTGATACAAATGCAAGTCAACTTTAAAATTTGTTTTTCAAAGCATTTTTACCTCTTTACCAACAAAATTTATTAAGACTCTACTGTAGACCAATGGGATGCTGTGATAAATATAGGATATTATAACCTCCAGGAGCCCATTAAAGATAAAAAGAACAGATACTTCAGTCAGAGACAGGACCATGTTTACAATGAAAAATATACAAGGGCTGAGTCATCAAATGTCATTGATCATCTTCTCTGGCAGACAGTCCAAATCAACAAGGGCATTATTACCTTGCTAAAAATTGAATGTTTAAGCACTAATAAAGTGCTTAATAGAAAATAAAAATTAAGGGCCGGCCCGTGGCTCACTCGGGTGAGTGTGGTTTTGATAACGCCAAGGCCATGGGTTCGGATCCCATATAGGGATGGCCGGTTAGCTCACTGGGTGAGCATGGTGCTGACAACACCAACTCAAGGGTTAAGATCCCCTTACCGGTCATCTTTAAAAAAAAAAAAAGAAAAGAAAAATTAAGAAGACATCGTGTTGATATTTTGTAGCAATATTCTTTTCAAAATAACAATTGGTCTACTGCTTTTCCTTACTATAAAAATTAAACATTAGAAAGCTAAATTAGCATTTTTACATTAAGTTATATTGATTAGAGGATTTACGAATTCATGGATAATTTTTACAGTATACCAAGAAAGGGCACTGTCAACTGTTTATAATAATGCCAACACAATTTTCATTTGTGAAAGGTAAAAAAATTCAAGTAACTTAGCATAGCAAAGGAGACCATACTCTGACCCTTACCAAAGTTTCCAATCCTGTCTCTCACCATTCTTTCACCAAAACCCTATGCTATAACCAATTAGTTGTTGTCTGAATCCACTCTGTACACCTTAAACCTTTGTGTACCTCATACATCTTCCAGGAACAGAATATCTTTCTTTTTCATATAACTTCTAACTGCTGCCAAAGACTCCAGTTTACTATCACCTCCTTTGGAAAGCTGCCCATGACCACACTCTACCCTCTATAACTCTAGTCTGAATTAGACGTTGCACGTCTGCGCTCTCCTGTATTTACCTCCATGAGTCTCACAGTACATGGAAGATCCCTGACATTCATGGGTATGTAATCTGAAAAGTTTGGCCATTCACAAGTAAGACCGCCTCCTCCACCCCAAGTTTGAGACACTCAGATATCTGCAATTGTATTGAGGCATAAATATGAAACATGCATACCACAAGATTGGTATGCAGGAGGAAGTCTGTTAGTGAATTGAGACTGAGAACCCAGGAGTCTTTGTAAGAGGTTTCACACTTAATGGGTTATGACCCAAACTTGGGAAACAAAAAAAGCAGGCATTGAGTTTTAGTCACTCTTGAAGTGATTAAAAATTTTGTTTTATAAAATGAGGGCACCCAAAAGAAATATAACTATTAATCTTGGAGACGGAAGTAAAGAAACATTAATATTTAAGACAGATAAGCTACTTGCCAGGAAAAAAAAAAAAAGGCTTTATAAATGTGTATAGCTATGTATGTATATTAAATCATTAAGGATCTAAAGGGGTCGACAGTTAAGTGCTTCAGCTACATCTGTGCTGTTCTTCATGTGGTAACACATATGCTGTGCAGGTACTGAGGAATTTGTAGATTCAGCCATCTCAGGACCATCCCTTGAGAGTGCTAAGGGTTGATACTGTCTGATAATTGATTGTAAGTTGTTTATGTGCCTGACTCATCAAGGCCCCCCACTGCCCTCAGGAATACGTGCGGTGTACAAGTTCTGGCCTTCTCTCCTGGGTCAAAGTTTCCGGAAAATTAAGAAAACAGAAACTGCACAGATGCAAGGCAGTTTTATTCTCTCCTGTTTGTGACTTTCTCCAGTAAGTCTTCTGGGTCACTGCAGGAGTTCAGTTCCGATTCTCCTCCCCTGGCGCGATCCTCCACCCCTGTGGACCGCGGGGCAAGCAGGAAGGACTGGACCCGACACCCCTGGGAACGGCAGCCGAGCCAAGGGAGGGGTCGCTCCACTTCTGTCTGCAGATAACTTCCCTTCGCTGCAACCCGCAAAACTGTAAACAACCCCCTGAGAGACCGCTGCAAGCCAGCACCCACCCCCTCACCCCCAACCTCAGGCCTCTACTAAATACCTAAGGCCCGAGGGTCACCGCCTGAGGGCACGCGAGACGCCGGGGGAAGGTGGCGGCGCCGGCTCCACATACTCGCTACAGGAACCGCTTCCTGTTTCTCCCAGGCCTTACCTGAGATCTGGTACCCGTCTGCAACTCAGCTGCCGCGGTTTTCCAAAGGCCTTGCCTCCGGGCGAGGCTAACCCCACCCGCGAGAAAGAGCCGGTAGGAAACTGCTGCGCCACAGGACACACAGGGCACCGCCATGTTGGCTGAGGGAGACCCAGGCAGGAGGGGTGAGGGGGCGGAACCTGGGGCTGCGCAGGCGCAGACGGGCGCCGGGTTCCAGAGGCTGTCGGAGGAGGGGCCTCCCAGGCGTAGGGAGCAGGGGGCGTGTCCCGCGGCCCGAGACTACTCGTCGCTGATTGGGTGCGTAGAACCGCGGGGCGTGCCCGACTCCACCCCTTCGCCGGCGTCCACCCCGAGGAGTGGTAGTTCGTGACTGGTTGTGGCCTGGCTCTACTCACGTTTTGGGTTCAGCCGCTCTGTTTGGTACCGACTTCCACGTGGCTCTTTAACAAGCTCTTCCTTCCCATGAGCGTTGCTGCACCTCGAGCCAGCTCTCCCTGAACCGTGGCTGGGCGGTCGGGGCCCTGCACAGCTTACCGCACCTCCCTGCCTGCCCCGTCTGACTTCACCGTTCTCCGACACCGATGCTCCCCACCCGCAGGTCCTCTGTCACGCTCGAATGGACTCCAAGCCTTCCTTGCATGGAGTTTTCCCCTCCTCTCTAACTTTCCACATTCTTCAGGATCCAAAGCAAGACCCTCCTCCAGCGACTGCCAAACCACTCTAGGTTCCCTGGCACTCACTCTTACATTGTTTCTTAACTGGGTAACGCACAGATTGAACCTTCAACAAGTGAGACATACGCGGCCTAACTCATCTTTGAGCATCACTCCCTGTAGCTCTGATACTAAGCCTTATTTGAAACCCAATCAGAACTGAACAGTTATTGAATAGAGATAAGTATGTCTTGCCTTTTGTGTGCTCCTGACAGTAACTCCCAGGGTGCTCTCTACGAAATACATATTAGCTGATGTAGTAAACCACTCTAAAAGGGATTCAAAACACTTAGATTTGAGGGATCAGTAAAATTAAAACATACATACATACAGGAAATTTAAGGGCATACAAAATTATCAAGCAAATGAATGCCATTTAATATCACCATTTCACAAAACACATTTTAACATTAAAAAGGTAGAAATGGCATAATTTCAGAATAAAGAACGGTCCTTTAAATGGAATACATTTAGTTGGATGAAAACTCACCTTGATGTTCTTTTTGTTATTATTTTTTTGGCTAGGGAAAATTTCATCAAAAATTCGCAGAAGCCTGCGAACTAGCATTTGGGAACCAGGACTTTATAGCTCATTGAAACAGATACCTTTAAACAGCAATCTTTTACTAGAATACAGTGAAGCAAATGTAGTACAAACTATTGCATTAAATTTCCTGTGTAGCCTTTGAGTTTGGGAAAAAATGCACAACTATAGATTGACATTGGGTGCATAATTTGAAGACAGAAGGAAAGATTGGAATGCCCTAATAAATATTTAAAATACAAAAAAAAAATCTATAGTTTACCTAATGACTAAAACTTAGATTCCTTTCATTTTTCTCTTACTTATTAAGCACCTATTATGTCATAGGCATCAGGCATCCTAGTGCCAAAAGTCCAATATGGTGGGGTCATGTCTAATGTGAGAATTTGGTCCTAAAGTCAGCTTGTAAGGTAAACATCAGGAGAGTCAAAATGTTGGACTAACATCAGGAGTTGCTGAGATGTGGAGTAGCAGGAACTGTTAGATGCTGCTGGTTAGGGGTGTAAATTGGTACAACTCTTATGAAATCAACTAACTAATCAGTGACCTACAAAAGATAAGATAAGCATACCCAACAATCCATCAGTTGCATTCCTAGGTATATACCCTGTAGAAATTCTTGCACGGTGCATCAGGACACATGTATAAGAATGTTCATAGGAACTTTTTTTTTGGTCACAACAAAAGTAGCAAAACTATCGATAGGAGAATGGATGAATAAGAGAGCACCATACAGCAATACCAATGAACGAACCACAGCTGTACATAAGAATATGGATGAGTTTCACCAGGTGGAGCAAAAAATAGGAAGTCACATGTGCATACACACAGTATGATCCTATTTACATAAACTTCATAAACAGGGAAAACTGAGCAAGATATTGTTTAAGAGTTTAATCTCTATGTAGTAAAATGATAAAGAAAAGCAAGAGAAGGATAAACACAAAATTCAGGATAGTAAATACCTCTGGAAGGAAGGAGAGGTATGCCTTGAGCAGGGTACAGGTGGGATCAATGCTCCTGCCAATCTTTAGATGACAGCTGGATTCACAGGTGTTCATCTCCTTCTTCTTGAAACTCTACACATATGTTATATATACATCCAACAAGAAGAGTTGATTTTCTTCTTCCATCTCACTCTGATTCACACTGAAAGGTGTGCTGGGAGTGTAAACTGGTATTTGTTATTTCTTTTTCCTATATTCCTCATTCTTCATTTCCTTATTCCTGTCTCCTTTATAACCTCCTCTCCACCCCCTACTTTCTCTCTTTTTCTCTCTTTCTATCCACTGTATATAGCTTAAATACTGAATGTAGTCCCCCCAAAATTGATTCCTTCCCCCTTAAAGGATTCCTAGAAAGTGTCTCTGGAATTGCAGAGCTTTGTGGGTCAATATGAAAATCTTTAGCCTAGAAAAAAACCAAAGGCTTAATGGTTTCCACAGATAACTGAGATCGTAAGAGAACATTGGATCAAAGATGACCAAGCACTGGGTAGTTCATAGAAAGCACATGAAATGTGGCTCAGGTAGTCAGAGTTGTCATCTGAACCCTGCCACATCCTCAGTTTTTGACACTTGGTGGTTCATTCAGCTTATGTGAAAGTATGACCTAGTTGAATTGTGTCCAGTAAAAAAGATGTTAAAGTCCTAACTCCCCTTCATAAGGTTACCTCTTAAGGTAACCTTATTTGGAAATAAGGCCTTTATAGAGATAATCACATTAAGTTGAGGTCAATAGGATGGGCCATATTCCAATATGGCCCTAAACTTTATTAAAAAAAAAAAAAAAGACACTTGGACACAGAGGCAGACACATAAAAAGGGAAAACAATGTGAAGAACCAGGGAGAAGATGGCCATCTACAAGCCGGGAATATCCAAGGCTACCAGAAACTAGGCAAGAAGCCTGGAACAGACTCTCTCCCACAGGCCTCGGAAGAAACCAACCGGCTGACACCCTGACCGGGTACTTCCAGCCTCTGGAAATGTGAGACAATAGATTTCTGTTGTTTAAACCACCCTGTTTATGGTACTCTGTTACAGCAGTCCCAGAAATAGACCTGTGTATTGGTTTTCAATTGTCCTCACTTTTTAGATAGTCCTCTCTTCAAAAGCTAGAGCTCCTCCCCTTGAGTGTAAGCTGGATTTAATGACCCATCTCTGAAGGACAGAATAAAGTGGAAGTCATGGTGTGCAATGCTGGGTACTAGTCACAAATACTGTGGCTTCCTGCATGCTCTACTGAAAGACCCACTGTGGGAGAACTGGGATGTCATGTCCTGAGACAGCCCCTCGGAGAGGCCCACCTGGTGAGCCATGGAGCCTTCTGCTGACAGCCATGTGAATGGGCTGTCCTGGCAGCGGACCCTACAGCCAAACTTTCGTATGACTGCAGCCTCTGTCAACATCCTGATGACCATCTTGTGACAGATCCTGAGCCAGAACCACTGCGCTCAGGCTCTTTGGCCACAAAAACTGTGAGATGATTCATATTGTGTTAAGCCACCAAGAGTGAGGTAATTTGTTACACAGCAATAAATAACTCATATACCTGAAAATGTGTTAGAAATGCAGATTTTGGGCTCATAATCCAGACCTATTGTATCTGGGCATGAGGTCCAGCATAAAGCCCTCCAAAATAATTCAGGATTCTTGTATTTTGAGTTTTGTTTTGTTTTGTTGTCATTTACAATATGTTATTTAGTAGTATATGTCAGATTTTATTACATTAAATCCACCGGCAATGCCCATTTTAATCTTGTTCATCTAGCAGAAGATTCCTACACATCTTTTATTATTATTATTCTGGTAAAAAAATAACATAAAATTTACCATTTTAATCATTTTTAAGTGTACAATTCAGTGGCATTAAGTATTCGCATTGTTGTGCAACCATCATCACCATCCATCTGCAGAACTTTTTCATCCTCCCAAACTGAAACTCTGCACCTGCGAAACACTGACTGCCCATTCTCTGGCCCCTTGGAACCACCATTCCACTTTCTGTCTCTATGAGTTGGACTATTATAGATACCTTGTATAAGTGGAATCATACAGTCTTTTTTATTTCACATATTGATTTATTTCACTTAGCATAATATTTTAAAGTTCCATCCATGTTGTAGCATATGTCAGAATTTCCTCCTTTTTAAAGGCTGAATAATATCCCATTGTATGGATATAACACATTTTGTTTACCCATTCATCCATTGATGGACACTCGGATTGTTTCCAACTTTTGTCTGTTGAGAATATAATGCTGCTATGAACGTGGGTTTACAAATATTTGTTTGAGTCTCTGCTTCCAATTCTTTTGGGAATATTGCAGGATTCTTGTTTTAGTGTGGCCAGATTTTTTACTTAATCCATACAGGCAGGTGCCCACAAAAGATAACCTGAGTGGTATCGAAATCCACAACTTGAAAAGTCTCTATCTAACCACTCCCAGCTAAATAAATACTACATATGGAGTAATATATGGAGTATAAATGAGTAATGTAAATTTCACTGAAATTTAAAAATATTTATGAGGTAATTTGAGTATATAATTGCTATATATCCTTCTATAAGTTTAAAAATGAAATCTGTCTAAACTTTACAAGTACATCTGTTCCCCCCAGATGCATATATATTTACCTTATCAATTGAATTTTAATATATTGCAAATAGAACAAGTATCTTCTTTGATTTTTTGCCACTGTGTTCAATGTGGACCAAATCCATCCACACATGCCCTTTACCGACGAGCTGTTAATTATGTTTGCTATAAAAGAGACAACACTTAGGGAGCTGTCAGTCAATGCTGTTGTGATGCTTCAGGCATCATTTCTCCAGGGTTACTTTTCAAAAATAAAACAAATTTACATGGAACATTCAGGTGGATTGATCATGCCAT